TATGTCCATATTATTTATATGCTCATATTTGTTGACTAATTACATAAATTATATTTGACCATGTTTACCTAAATTTTCTATTATTGCAAGACCTTAATGATATTATTGTGTCTTCATATTGTCACTCAATACTAGAGTCACACCCTCTAGTTGTTCCTATATTGGAGGAAGTTGGCTCTAGGGGAGTGACAAGATTAAGACATCTAAAAGTTGACCACGGTCTAGTCACGACTTTAGTGGAGAGATGGAGACCTGAAACACATATATTTCCTCTACTCGTAGGTAAATGTAGCATCACATTAGAAAATGTTGCAATATAACTTGGGCTACGAGTGGATGGTCATCTGATCATTGGACCCATAATGTTCGACTGGGAAGATATGTGTGACATGTGCTTAGGAATCGTGCCAACAAAATATGAAATCCTCATTGGTGGAATGGTTAAAATAAAGTAGCTAAGAGATAACATGTTGCCACTTCAGAGGAACCATCAGAGGACCAACTGCATGCCCATGTTAGGGCATACATATTAGAGTCAATCAGAGGTGTTTTGATCCCTGACAAAACAGGTAACAAAGTACACCTCATGTATTTACAATTATTGACTAATTTACGTAAAACCAAGTGATATAATTGAGGTTCTACGTGTTTATCTATTTTGTACAGGGAAATGTGTAAAACAACCGATGTCAGGACAAAAAAAATGGGAGGTTGTGCTTCACTAGTACAATCATAGGCATGGCATGGCATCACATGTGACATACTGCACCAATTAGTCCCTTACAACCAACGTATCCATTAGTGTGCAAATGGAGTGGGGACAGGGTTTTAAACTTTCAGAATGTACCACACAATGATCTGGTTGGGTACCGAGTAAGGATTGATCATATTCAACCTCATCAGGTGAACTCAGTTAACACTTTTATTATTAAATATCTATTTTAAATTAATTTTACTAACTACTTACTCATAACTTCATTGTAGTTTTTATGGGCACCATATCGAGGGTTAGAGACATCAATAGTACCGACACAAGCATACCGGGATTCACATTTATGGACATCTTGCACAACCATAATTTGTTTTACAGTTGTGGAGTGGCATCAGTCTGATTGGGTCAAATTTCAATTTTTTTTATTTTAAGAAGTCCCTTCTCCATCGCAAAATCTAGACAACTTGCACAAAATTGACATGTGGGGGAGACCTGATGAAAATTGACAAATAAGGCATACCAAATGGATCAATATATGGAACAACATATGAGACCTTGTACTACCAAGTCTACCATTGCAAGAGCCTTTCTACCACAGAAGAGAATACATGGAATGATACACTGCTAATTCTATTTATTTATTGTCTGTGTCACAACTATTTCAAGATTCAAGAAACCAACAACAAGCACACAACCAATCACGGACATTTGAAATTGGCTCATCCATTACACCGTTGTTTTATATGCCTTCATGCCAAATGAATTTAAGAAAAAATCATCTGAACTTGAAGAAAAATTATTAAATGTTATTTTATAAAATATTTATATCTAATTATTTAATATTAAAAGTTAAACACAATAAAACTCCTCTGTACCACACTAAGACATGTTGCCCAATATCTCAGAAAAAACTAATGGTCAAGATAATATCCCAAAACATCAACCATCAAGATGTAATCAGCATTGTCCAAAATCAACCTAGGGATGCATGAAATATTGTTCAAGATAAGACTCCACTATATCACACACTAATGCATACTGCCCAATATGTACATTTAACACACCAAGGTGTCAACTGAAAATTTAATCCCCACAAATACACATTGCTCAATATGTACAATGTCCAAGGCCAACCTCAAAATAGTGTTTAGGATAAGATTCCTTTGTACCATATACTATTCAAGGTGTCAGCAAAAAGTAATGGTCAAAATTGAACACACTGTCCAACGTTAAAGTCAAATCATCATTACGCTGTCTAAGGTCCAACTCAAAATACAAAGTACAATAATTTATTATGGGGGCATTTTAGTCTACAAAATACAGTAAATGACATATATAAATTCAAGTTTGGTCTCATAAAAAAGTTGCCCACTCATCTTACCTATCAACACTCATATTCAATCTTTGTGTTATTCTTCTTTTTACTCTTCAAATGGAAGAATTTGATATCACACATATTGAAAATTTTGATAACTCTTATCTTGTAGCAGTTTTTGCAAATGGAAAAATCACAACAAATGAGGAAGGGGTGCACTTTCAATGTGCATCTCCTATACTTTTTCGAATTTCACACAATTGCACATTTATCATTCTGAAGGAAAAAATATGCATTTCTTTAGAGATTCCTATAGGCACCCCAATCAACAAGTTGTATTACTGTAAACCAAAACTAACAGGTGATGGTTTAATTATATATGATGCTACTGAACTATTTTCTAATATTGATGTATCTAACATGATTACTTGAAAGTCACAATTCTCTTTAAATAATATCATTGAATTATATGTTTAATATACAAGATCCATTGATGAAATAATGATGTTTTTAAACCCCCATATTTCTACCTCTTTCTCAAACTCAAATAACATCACTTCCTCTGAAACTATAATTTATTTTAGTGAGCTTGTTCAACGTGCAACCATCATGGAAAGTCAAAATGGTCTTGGTCTTCCTTATACATGTTTAAACCCTAGAATAATGGTAATCCAACATATATGTCGTTTGCTCAACTATATAAATACATTACTCAAGTACTTTACTATGAAAATCGCAAACAAATTACTGACTACCATCATCTAGTTCGGGTGCGAAAAATTGATGCTGATATGGTCTAAATGATCAACCGTCGAAAAAAAACACAATCTCTACACTCATCTATGCAACGTGAAACATGGGGAAAGATTGAATTATTTGTTCAAGATAAGACTATACGAAGGACAACATCTGACGAAATCATTAGTGACTTAGAAGATACTATATACATTGACAAATATAGGATAATAAGGTCTACATTTATTTCACGATTTATAATATGATTATTCAATTATTATTTATCTTTATATTATTTCTAATTTAGTTAGATTTCATATTAACATGTATTGTTTTAATTATGTACCATTTATCTATGATATTTTAATATTTTATATCATGAATATATATATATATATATATATATATATATATAAATATAAAAATATAAATATAATATATATATATATATTAATTAAATATAAAATATATAATTATATACTTATAAAATCTATAAAAAAAATAATATATATATATTAAATATACTGTATTTATTAAATATCTTATTATATATATATATATATATATTATAAATCTATATTTATTAAATTTATTTAAATATTAAATCTATAATCTTATAATTTATTTGTATTTTTCTAATTTTTTACATCAAAGTTATTGTTAAATAAATTATTATTCATATAATGTCTTATATAAATTTATTTTTATTTATTATTCCTATAAATTATCCCTTTTATCAACTTTTTTCTTCAACTAATTTATATTAAATAAAATTTAAATATTATATATATATTAAATATATCTGTATTTACTATATTTATAAAAATATATTAAACATATAATTATATAAATATATTTTTATAATATAATTATATAAATAAATGTTTAAAATATATATATATATATATATTATTTATTTACTAAAAATATTATTTATTAAATAAATACTTAAATATTATATAAAAAATATATTATCATATATATATATATATATACTAGAAAAATATAAATATGTATTTATTAAATGTATAAATATATATATATATATATATATATATATATATATATATATATATAAAAATATATATAAATATATTAAACATATAATTATACAATATATTTTTATATATAAAAGTATATATTTATATTTATTATATATTATATTTAATAAAGTTATAATGTATATAACAAAATATAAATATGTATTTATTATATTTATAAAAATATATACAAATATAATAAAAATATTTATATATTTATATATTTCTATAAAATATATTATTTTTATTTACTAAAATGATTTTATATTAAAAATATATTTAAATAATATATATAATTTATTTATGTAAAAATGTTATATAGAAAGATATAAATATATTTTTATTAAATACATACATATATATATATGTATTTATTATGTTTATTAAAATATAAATAAATATTTAAATATTATATATATATATATATATTAAATATATTTGTATTTACTATATTTATAAAAATATATTAATAATATAAATTATATAAATATATTTTTATGTTATATAAAAAATATTTATTTTTATTTAATATGATTATATAAATAAAATTTAATATATATATATATATATATATATTTAATAAATATTAAATTTATTTTAAAAATTTTATTAATCATCGAAGTCGGAATTCAAACTCCGCGAACCAAATTCCGACCGTATAAAACATGTCATTTGAATAATTTCCCTACGTTAGTACTTTTATATAAAAATTTGCTACATAGGAAAAAAATTTCATAATAACATGTTTTACTTTTTTTTTAACGGCAAAAATAGTTTTTACTATTTGATAAACTATTTTCAACATAATTATTGATATTAAAAGTAAAACTCTAAAGTCATAGTTATCATTATTACAAGTAAATAGACCCTAAACAGTAAATAATATTTTCTTAACAAGTTAACATTAATTAGCTTTTTCTTTTGCATTTTTTATCATTTCCTTTTTTTTTATATAATTAAACTAAGTGGAAAGGAAATCATTGTCAAATTTTCCCCTCTTTCTCTGGCGGTTCCTTTTGATGTCGAAATACAAATTTCTCATTAATTTTGTCAGCATTTGTTGCATACAATGAATCTGATGAAAGAGAAATTTCAAAGTTATCATTTTGTCAAGTTGCAGCACAATTCGTACAACTTCCTTTTTGGGTGAAGTTGGCCTTTGAATACCTCTCACTGTCCACTGGGGAAGCAAAGAACAATGGACTACCTTTCACTTCTTCTACTAATCACCATAGTATGGTTGAGCATTCGTGTACTCATCTCAAGCTTCAAACCAATCAGATCCTCAAAATACCCTCCAGGGCCTCACCCTTTTCCTATCATAGGAAACATCTTGAAGCTTGGCAACCAGCCTCATCAATCACTTGCCAAGCTTTCTCAAATTTATGGTCCTATAATGAGTCTCAAGCTTGGTGTCACTACCACCATAGTCATTTCCTCTCCACGTGTTGCCAAAGAAGTACTGCAAAAAAAGGATCTAATATTTGCTAACAGGGCAATCCCAAATACTGTCCGAGCACTTGATCATCACATACTTTCAATGGTGTGGATGCCACCTGTAGCACAGTGGAGGATCCTTAGGAGAGCTTGTGCTACCAAAGTGTTCTCTTCTCAGCTACTTGATTCCACACAAGTTTTTCGTCAGAGAAAGGTGCAAGAATTGATGGATTATGTCAAGGAAAGATGTAATAGAGGTGAAGCTTTGGATATTGGTGAGGCTTCCTTTACAACTGTGCTTAATTCCATATCAAACACTTTCTTCTCAATGGATTTGGCTCATTACACTTCTGACAAGTCTCAAGAGTTCAGGGACATCATTTGGGGCATCATGGAAGAAGCTGGAAGGCCTAATGTTGTGGACTTTTTTCCCATCTTTCGTCTGCTTGATCCACAAGGTGCACGGAGAAGGATGAAAGGTTATTTTGGAAAGTTAATTGCGTTTTTCGATGGTCTCATAGAAGAAAGACTGCGTTTAAGGGCATTAGAGAACGAATCCAATGCATGCAATGATGTTTTAGATTCTATGATGGAACTTATGCTCGAAGACAATTCACAAGTCACTCGCCCTCATGTTCTGCATTTGTTTCTGGTGAGTGTGTGTAAATATATAAAACTTCCATGTCATCTTGTATATTATCTTACCAAGTGATTATATATGTCAGGATTTATTTGTGGCTGGAATAGACACAACATCAAGCTCGATAGAATGGGCGATGTCTGAGTTGTTACGTAATCCAGAAAAACTAGAAAAAGTTAGAAAAGAGCTTCAACAAGTCCTTGTCAAAGGCGAACAACTAGAGGAATCGCATATCTCAAAGCTTCCTTTCCTACAAGCAGTGGTGAAGGAAACTTTCCGCTTGCACCCACCTGTCCCATTGTTAGTGCCACACAAGTCAGAAGTCGATATTGAACTATGTGACTTCATGGTACCTAAAAGTGCCCAAATTCTGGTTAATCTGTGGGCCATGGGAAGGGATTCAAGTATTTGGCCAAACCCAAATGAATTTACACCCCAAAGATTCTTGGAAAGTGACATTGATTTTAAAGGCCATGATTTCGAATTAATACCCTTTGGAGCAGGAAGAAGGATCTGTCCTGGGTTGCCATTGGCTTCTAGAACTACGCATATTGTATTGGCCTCTCTTCTGTATAACTATGATTGGAATCTCGAAGATGGAAAAAAAGCACAAGATATGGATATATCAGAGAAATATGGGATTACCTTGCGTAAGGCACAACCTCTCGTAGTAATTCCCATCCAAGCGTAATACCAAGGAAGATCATATGGGAAATCAAAATCTTCGTGATACCCTCTATATTTTGCATGCAGTTGTAATTGTATCAAAATAAGTGCATGAGTAGTAAAACATCACTAGCTTTTTCCCCTTTACTATTGTTCAACTCAATAATACTCAAATATTTGATTCTACAATGACCTCTTCATTCATTCACCCTATCTTTTCTATTAGCAAAAGTGGGATGAAAAATAAGTGTAAAGATATATCAAGAAAGGTACTAAAAAGAAAGTATATATTTTAATTTATATAATATTTCAAATTCTGTAATCAATTTTATATTTAAATTCTTTTTTAATTCTTCAAACCTTTGATTATTCTAAAGTTTCGTAGTAATATCTTCAACTACTCTTTTTATCATCATACTTAAGTGTTAATTTGTTTTGTTTGTTTCATCTCTAATAAAATGAAATCTTAAACCAATATATTTATTTTGTTAAATTGATGATGTTGATCTTTAGCCCTATAGTTACTAAAACTAATTATTCCACCATAGTTACTGATTTATCAAACACTTTCAAGTTATTTCCTTTACTTTATTTCAACTTAATTGTAGTAATAGGTTGCTTGGGAGATGGCTATGTTCTTAATGTTCTTACATTCAGTACAAATGGAAGGCGTGAAGTGCGGACCTCATTGGAATTGCAATCCTAAATTATACCCCGATGGAAGTAATTTTAACCTGCTTTGTTACTGAATTTTTCTCAGAAAACAACTCATGGTCCATTTTTTCCAGGGCGATGCATACCTTTTTTCTTCCTCATGAGGTCCATCAATCTGTTCATGATGTAATAAGGTTGTTCCCGACCAGATTTTCTGAGATGAACTAGTTCAAATGATGTATTGCTCTGTTTTAAGCAAGCTTATCAGCACACTAAAGATGCCTCACCTGGTGTTGGTTGGTCAATATATATATTTGGTAAATGTTATATCCTTTTCAAAATCTTTCCTTGTTTGAAGATTGATCTTTGGTAGGCTACCGACAGGAAGCAAGGGGCTTGAATGTGTTAAATAAAGATAACTTTAACCATGAAAAGCTATAAAGATTCATAACATGAAAAGAGAAGTGATAAGAAAAAATATAATTATTTTCTTATTTGATATTGAACCATATTGTATTTCACTTGTTTAACTATATAAATGGCTAAATATATGAGAAACGACAATCAATTGTTATAGTCATTTTTGTTGTCAATAAAATATAAATCTGGCGAAAATTAAACAAAATCCATAATTAAAATATTATTGACACAAACAAACTAATTAAAATAAGTAAACATGATAATAAGAAGAAAAACAAGAGTTTTATAACTCATTCATTTATCACTCCTCTTTAAATAACTCTCATCTTACGTGTAGTTATTGTTAAATAAAGGTATGAACTACTTGTATGGAAATGAACTAGATCTCTTATTTAACAAAAAACTACTTGATAATTTCTTTTTAATTTTATGTTAAATATTATATTAAAATAATATTTAATTATGATAATTAAGTTATCAAATTGTAAAATATAAATTATAAATTATAAAAATAGGAATACTCATGAAAATTATCCATCAAATAAAAAATTTAATATAAATGACTTAAAAGTAACGTGACATCAAAATCCCGTTTTAAGTAAAATAAAAACTTCAATAAAATGTGCCATAATTGCTTTCAACCAAAAACATATTTTTTTACCATTTTTTCCAAGTTTATTTCCATTTGTTGCAATTCTGGAGGGATACAACTTAGAGTCAACATGAAGATGCAAACCATCAAAGAAACTACAGCTGTCTTCACCAGAATGACAAATCAATGAAAAGTACATTAAAAATTTGTGGAAATTGTCAAATTGAGTACGCTAAGTAGTCTATTGATCAAGTTACCAGAGTGAGTTTATTTTGTCATATTTGGCAGCATGCATGTTTCATGAAATATCTTTCATAAGCTACATAAAGTAAAGTAGCGTCTTAGAATAGTAAAGAAAAAAAAGCTTTTTTATCATATTCAGATTTGGTTTCTAAGAAAAATCATTAAAAATGGTTTCTAAAACAAGTAACCTAATGGAAAAAAATTCCTCCCCCCCACTACAGTACATAATACAGATTCAAAAGACTGCCGCCTTGTAGCCATTCACGAGCCACACAAAAAATGCCATGATATTCATCAACAAATGTGGCAACCAATTATAGCCTAAGAAAGAATCTTAAAGATACAAAAATCATTCCAAATCAGCAGATCTACGATAAGGCATGTATCTGTGGTCCTTTGCAGCATTCCTTCTCCTCCTTTTCTCAACAAATGCTTCAAGTTTGCCAGATGACTAAAAATGATGAATAGACAGATTTAGTAGAAAATATAATCAACATGTGGCATAATGGAGCGGGAAAGGGGAAACAGAGAAAGATGTTCTGAGATGTATACCTTGAGATTGTTATATTTTTCAATCAGCCTTTGTTTTCGTATTTCAGCTGCAAGGAACAGAAAAAGATGTCAGCATCTATAATGATGCTTCATTGATTCATTTTATATATATTTATCTGTTTGTGAATGGAAAAGAGAGGATGCCAGGAAGTATTACATTTCTTGAGATAGAAAGGACGCTTTCCTTGTTTTGTTGCTTCTCTCTCTTTCCTTTTGTGCTTAGCCAATATTTCTGTATCAATATTCTTCGTTGAATAAGACTTCATCTGTTTATCCTGAAAAAACATGTAAATATGATGAGGAAATCAATAAATATCATACTTTTGGAGGTATAAGACGCATTTGTAAAAGTCAAGTACTTACAATCCATGATATACGTTCTTCCATTTCACTTATTCGCTTCAGATCTTTACATTTTTTCAATTCCTTCTTCAGAGCCTGTTATACAGAGATGATGTAATCAGAGTTCATAGAGTAAGCTCTACATAAAATTCTACACATACAATCTGGAAGACTACCTGTCTTTCAGCAGGAAAATCGTTTTCATATAAGAAATTATACCTCTTCCTAAACCTGCAAATCGAAGTATATATATTATAAGAGAAGTTTCCAGATTTAGTTGAAAACACTGTTAAAATAAAACAGAACATAAAACCTCTTGCATTAAATTGTTCATATCATAGTATAAATATAGCCACGTAATCATGAAATAAAACCCATAGAAAGCACTTTCTACGAGCCTATGACCTAGGCCCCAACTATCAATTATGTAATTAAATATTAATTCCCAGGCGAATGCTACTGACTTAAAGAACAGGAAGAACCACTTTGAGAACTAGACAATCAAACAGATGTTACCAATATTTTTCCCATATCCCTATAGTAAGGCAAACATCATACAACAAACATGGTTGAATACCAGTGTTGAATTAAACATAGAATTACTTTAGATAAGAGCATGGTTCTGATATTATCAATACTTTGATACCACTTGGTAATGTACTAAGATACATATCAGCGTAAGGATCCTTCAACATAGAGGCATAATATGTTTTATGTAAGATTATTATCTACAATGAGAATTATTTCAAACTTGACCGTAAAATTTCCTCACATCAAGAAAGACATTCATTTGAAATTACATTTTTCTGTTCACTGCTTTAAACCGTTCTCACTAAGTTGACTCCTCCATGAGAACGGAACTAGCTTCTTCACAAGATAATTAGAAGAACTTGGCTAGGCATGCTCTAAAATAGCAAAGGAACCACAACTAACACAGAATTAAAGTAGCATGAAATTGCTTGAAATATATAATGATGATTGTAACTAAACAGCTGAACATGATGACAAAATTAAAATGGAAAAGAACAAGAACGAGAACAAAGAGCACATGTCCATAGGTGAACATACCCTTCAGGATCAAGGGTACCACTAAGAGATTCAAATCTTGGATCACGTACAACCTGACATTATTAATGGTATAGAAACTCAGAATAATATCCAGATATATACAATAAAAAGAGCATTGATCTTATGAGTTTTCAGATCCAACATAATTTCCACAATTCAACATCATAACACTAGAACAAAAGTTTTAAAACTTCTAATAAGCACCTTCATAGTGAAAGGCGTTGCAGTAACGCACTTAACCCAGCTCATATCCAAAATCTACAGAAGCGACACCCAAAACCTTAATACTGTGAGAATGTGTGTTCATGTGTAAAACAAACTACAACTAACAGACTGCAATTGGTCTTCCTCCTTCTTAACATAACCCTGCGAATGGCAACAGAGTAGTAGCCTAGTAGGTCTAAAATATTAAATTCCTATGCATGCTACAGGGCCTCATTAGACTTTGAGGAATTAAAATAACTACTCAAGAAAATTCAATGACAGGCAGTTACATAAACTAAATAAATAAATAAGAACATTACACCCTATAAAAGGAAGAAATAAATCTACCTTCTTTGGAGCTTGGATAACCTCTCTAAAAACAGAAACTGGCTTCTTGCTACTAGCCTCCATAGGCCTAGCCGCATTACAAAATTTTTAGAATGAGTTTGATGGACACAGAAAAAAAAAAAAAAAAAACTCTGTTAAACGGTTAAAAATACAATACCTATTCTTGTTAGCCCTTTTTAATTTTTTGTCTTCTTTGGGTTTCTGAAGAAAAGCATGTGCGCCATTAGAGCGTGCTTTCTGCAGCTCCTCAAACGTTACATCAGCTAACTCCTTCTCTATCTCCTCATCCTCATCCTCATCCTATAAAAATCAATCACACTTCACGCTCACTATGAACTTGGTTTTGAAGGAACCCAAAAAAACACAGAAATCATAACTTAATGAAACATTTTCAAGTTACCCACATCTTCTGAGGAACTGTAGGGAATAGAGTCTTCTGTCTCATGTTCTTCATACTGAGTTTGCATGGATTCTGGGACTCTGGCCCCTTGCTTCTTCATTTTGACAAATCAGTTATGTCCCAAGAAAAAATGGTATCAATTTTAGGTGGAAAAAAAAAATACTAGAGGTTAAAATACACAAATTGATCGTTGGAAGTGTACCTGAGTCATGTGTTTCAGGAGCAATGAAGTGTAAGATTTGGCAAACAAACTTAAAGGACTGTGATATTTGCAGGCGAATTGAGAAAAATGAAAGGGACCCTAAGACGTCAGATCAAAACGACCACGGGTTGTGACGAGGGAACTAAGAAGACATTGTCAGGAGTAAGAAAACAGAATAGGCAATTGCTTCCCGCGCCCCCGCTTATTTGCACTCTGAAGGGGATTTCAATCTCGTTCTAAATTTCAATCACAACTTACATAATCTGCACACACAACCTGACAAAATTCCTGGTGGCGGTGAAGCTGCACTTCCTGCCACAAACGGAGTTTCGCAGCAGACTGCGACGGAGGCGTGAGGAGGCAGCAACAAACAAAAACAAGTTAGCAAACTGAACTTACTAGTGACCACTAGAATGAAAGAAACAAAATTCAACATAATAACAAAAAAAAAAGGTACATTGATCGGATTATTTTCATGGCGCTGAACAAAAAAAGGACTATGAAAACAGAATATTTACATCGATTAAAAAAAAAAAAGAAGAAGAAGAAAGCATGGGTTACCTTCAGGAAGAAAGTGTGGGTTAAGCTGGTGAGGTGAAAAAATGGGGAAGGAAGAAAGGAAGGAAAAACTGGGATTAGGGTTTCCAGTGCTGTGAAGGAAGGGCAAGGCTCGCAAAGTTGGACCAGGTTAACACAATTTTTTGGTGGATTCAGTTTAAATTTAATACGACAAAGTCCAGGTATAAATATTTTCAATTTTGTAATAATTTTAAAAATTATTATAATTAATATTTATTAATATTACTATTAAAGCTTTTATTGAATATATAAATATTTTTTTCTTATTTTTTATCTTTTTTTCATTATCATACCTTTCTTTCATCAACATTGTTTTTCTCTCTCTTTAAATATTTTTTATAAAATTATATAAAATAAAAAACAAATTAATTTTTTTAAATTATACTTTAAAATAATTGTAAATATGTTTAAAGATTTATTTTATATAATAAATATAATTCAATCTAAATCTAAATAAAATATATATTTCATATTTAAATTATTTAAATTAAGATAAATATTTTAAAAATTATAAATAATATAAATATTGACTTATTGATATGAAAAATAATTAATTATGTGAAAGTATATTAAATATATAAACCGATTAATTATTTATAAAAAATATTAAATTATATAAATTTATTTTAAAATATATATATATTATTTAATTAATTAAACAATTTTTTTTGTAAATTTTAAAATATTTTATTTTATTTTAAATGTATATTTTATTTAGATATAAACTAAACCATATTATTTAAAATAAATTTATAAAAGTATTTAAAAAAATAATTAAAAAAAGTTATTTATGAAAAATTAATTATAAAAAGAAAAAATTGAATGACAAGAAATAAATCTACTTAAAGTGAGAGAAAATTAATGAGTTGTGATATATGTGTACACTAATTAAACTTCTTAGTCTTTATTAAATAAATTTTGTTAAATACAACATTTTTTTAATTTACCTATTAATATAAATGATACATTTTTTGCACTGAGAGTTCCGTGACCAAAATTATTCAAAAAGTGCCGATAATACGTAGAATGAAAATTTTGATTTAACAATTAGAAATAAAAATTAGATTGAGTAACTTAATTTTTTTGGATTAAAATTAAATTTTAATCAAATTAATTTAATTTATAATGTGCTAGACCAATAATAAAATAATTTGGATATAATTTTTTTCACCCTACCAGAATAACCATTATTGTGTTCATCTTATAAATTTTCGTTATTATATGATTTTATTTGTTGACATGTAAAATAACGATGTAATTATCATTTCACTAGAATTTTTTTGAAATTGTGTTAGTGTAATAAATTAATTTTTGATTAACAAAAGATTACAAATATTTTTTATAACTCACCATTTAATAATTTAATATAACAATGTATAAACTTTATTTACTAAGAATATATTTTAAAAACGCTTTTCTATTGAACAATATCTTGCTAGGCTAGGATAAATCTAAAAGAATTTTCGGTTTTGATTTCAAATGCTGAGGCCAAATATAAAAGAAAACTATGCGTACCTACTCAAATATTCGGATATAGAATATTCTTTTATAAAAAGTTTAGTATTCTTTTTTTCTTTTGGAGGTTCATAAATTAATCCTAACTTATTTCTATTGACACCCAAAGAGTTTGGCATAAGAAGGAAGGAGCATGGTCGAATTCGACCACCCTGGTCCACCCGGTGAGAACACCAATACTTGCTTGGCTGACATCTTGGTTGACTCATTGCTTGGCTTCGGTTGAAAGTGTTAATCTCACGCCATTTTCATATGCAACAGGTTGAACTTTTAGGGTTTGAACCAATCTAGAGATATCCATAGATATGTCAGCTGGGGACTTCACACCTCGATCAGCCTAAAACATAGGACAAAAAAGTGCATATCAAAAACCAGAAGGGAAAGAAGAAAATAAATTATCTCATAATGGTCCTAAAAAAGTCTTAAAATTCACTTTGTTTTGTTTTATTTATTGTCTCGTTCTCAGCATTCCGTTACTTAGCTTTAGTTATTTAATATTTCGTAACTCAATGCATATCTCAATCTCGTAAAATATTTCGATTCAGTTTTGTCGCTTTCTTCTTTGCAATCTCAACATGCCATGAACAACATCATAACAGATAACGCACAAACCACTAATGTTGCTAGCAACAATAAACCTATGCAGAATAATCATCAAATGGTCAACCAAAGCAACAATCCTTTTACTGTTGATAAGTTCAGCAAATCTTGAAAATGCTCCAAGATTCTTCTGGACAGAATTCACAAAGATTGATCAAATCCATAGTCTTACTAGTGTAGTGAGACTTCTGCCAAGACAACAACAAAGGTAAATCTTCTTGGATCCTTCTACAAGTTAAACTTCCTAATGATTCTTTTTTACTGCTAATCATGCTGGGACAACAAAATTTGCTGAAAACTTCATAACTTGCAATGTTTTGTATATACCCGATGTTAGTTTCAATCTCATTTTTGTCCAACGTTTAATCTGTGGTCTTAATTGCCAATACAATCTGCAGAAACCTTTGCTTTCAACCCAGACTAGCCACACTTAAATCAATAATTTTGCTCGTATTCATAAAAAGTCATCCTTCTAATAAAATAGTTGAAAACATTTGTAAAAATTACTCTTACATACATTCTGATTTTAACAAGCCATGTGATACTTGTCATTTTGCTAAAAAGCATAAACTTTCTCTTCAGCAAAGTCACTATGTTTTTATGTTTTCTTAAATCCTTTTGATCTTGTGCATATTGATATATGGGGCCCTCTTGCTGTTACTTCTGTTCATGGACATAGATTCTTTTTAATTGTTGTGGATGATTGCACTAGACATACTTGGATTTTTCACATGAAAACAAAAAGTGAAACTAGAAATCTTTTATTAAATTTTGTTATGTTTGTTAAGAATCAGTTTAATTCCAACATTAAAAGCATTAGATCTGATAATGGGAAAGAACTTGATTGTATTGATTTCTATAATAAGTTTGGCATATTGCATTAAAAGTCTTGTGTTAAAACTCCTCAATAGAATGTTATGATAAGAGCTGATATAGGGGAAAATGCAGCAGGACATGTGGCTATTGATCCGAGAAATGTGAAAAGTGGAGAGAAAGGGGTTAGGAGAAGCAACAGAATTTCAAACAAACCAGCACGTTTTAGAGAGTAAAGGGGGTATTGGTATAAAGGGGAAAGAAAAGGCAAGGGGGACGGGGAAAAAATTCCTTCTTTGAATGTTCTCTTCTCTCTCTGATATATTTTCAGCATATACTTAATTGACGAAGAAATTGAAAATACACGAGCAGTTTAATATTTGTTCTACTGTTGCTATTATAATATTCTAATTTGGTGCAGGAAACATTCCATTGGTGCTTTCATTAAGCTCGAATGACGGAAAATACCAGAATGAAGGATTTGACTACGGACCTCAAACTCTCTGAGAGTATCATTCTCTATGAAGGACAGACTAAGGATACCCAGCAACGTTTGGATCGAGTGGAGACAACGATGTCTTCAATCCAACGCACTCTGGATACTCTCAACCGTGCTGTTGATCGCCTTTCTCTTCCTTCCTCCGCCAACCGGCGCTCCGCACTCTTGCCCTCCATTACGTCATGTGAAATTGGATTTTCCCCAATTTGATGGCTCTGATCCCCTTAATTGGTTATTTCGTGCCGAGCAATTCTTTGCATATTATGACACCCCTGATTCCCAACGGATCATCATTGCGTCTGTTCATTTTGAAGGTTCGATTGTGCCATGGTTCCAAATGTTACAGAAGGCAAACCAAATCCCTACATGGACCACACTTGCTCATGCGGTGGAGGAGCAATTTGGGCCTTCTCAGTTTGACTGCCCTCGGGCCCAACTGTTCAAGCTATCCCAGGATGGATCGGTCTCTGATTATTATACTCACTTTGTGAGTCTCGCCAACAGAGTAGATGGGCTTAGTGATGCAGCTTTGTTGGATTGTTTCGTCAGTGGATTGCGCGACCCAATCCGTCGTGAGGTCATCACCCAAGCCTCGCAATCATTGTTACGAGCTGTTGCTTTGGCCCGCCTATTTGATGAAAAGGTTAACTTGGGACTCCTTTCCAGTTCTACCACAACTAGAGCTTTCTCTTTGCCTCCACCATCTTCTGCTGCTATCAAAACCCATAGCTCAGTGGGTTCTCCAGGCTTACTTCCTCCACCGCGCACTAAACTGTTACCTCCAATCAAACGCATGTCGGCCGCTGAGATGCAAATTCGGCGCGACAAAGGGCTTTGTTTCACTTGTGATGAGAAGTATTCTTGCACAAACGTCCTAATAAGCATTCCATGTTACTGCTCTCAGATGTGGATGATGATGATAAACCGGCCAGGTCCGATGTGGTGGCGCCAAACCCTCCAACTTCCAAAGATGACCCACCGCAGTCTCTACATCACCTTTCTCTCCAAGCTTACCAAGGTTCACCTAGCAGCGCCACTATCCGCTTCCAGGGAACCATTGCCGGGGAAATAGTTAAGGTGTTTCTTGATGGTGGCAGTTCCGATAGTTTTATTCACCCTCGTGTCGCACATCACCTCCACCTCCCTATTGAACCAGCCTTTGGTGTGTGAGTTTTAGTGGGAAATGGTCACTACTTATAAGCAGAAGGCATCATCCGTGCATTACCACTTCAAATAAGTGGTCATCAAATTCGTTTTCCCGCTTATGTGTTATCGATTTCAGGCACCGATGTGGTGATAGGAGCATCATGACTTGCAACATTGTGTGAACACATTGCGGATTATAGCTCCGCTTGCATCAAATTTTATGCTAATAATGCTTTTGTCACTCTACAAGGTGTCCATTGTTATCGACCTGTTACTGCGGAGTTTCACCATCTCAAGCGTTTATGTGCCACTAATGCGATTGCGGAAATGTATACCTTATTTTGTTTTTCCCTGGACTTGTATAAAGGTGAATCATTGGATTTCCCTCTTGAATGGCCCAATGACCTTGTGGCTGTTCTACACAATTTTTCCGCTGTCTTCGATGTTCCGAAGGGCTTACCACCACCACGTAGCCATGATCATTCTATACCTCTTCAAGACGGGGTTTCAGCTGTCAAAGTCCTGACCCTATCGTTATCCTTTCTCTCACAAATCTGAGATTGAGCGTATGGTTACAGAGATGCTCCACGATGGGTTCATCCAGCCCAGTACTAGCCCTTTTTCAGCTCCGATTTTGTTGGTCCCCAAGAAAGACGGGACATGGCGTTTTTGCACTGATTATCGGGCCTTGAATGTGGTAACAGTAAAGGATTCATTCCCTATTCCAACAGTGGATGAGTTACTTGATGAACTTGGCGGCTCTCAATTCTTCTCTAAATTGGAATTACGTTCTGGTATCATCAGATCTTAGTCCGACCAGAGGATCGACACAAAACAGCTTTTCGCACGCATCATGGGCATTATGATGCGCATTATGAGTGGCTTGTCATGCCCTTCGGACTCATAAATGCCCCTGCCACCTTTCAAGCTCTGATGAATGATGTTTTTCGGCCTTTTTTGCGTAAGTTTGTATTAGTTTTTTTTTATGATATCTTGGTTTACAGCCCTGCTTGGTCTTCACATCTGGATCGGTGCTTGACTGCCTACAACGCCATCAGCTTTATGCTAAGCTTTCCAAGTGTTCTTTTGGCAAAACTAGTCTTGAATATTTGGGGCATATCGTTTCTCGCTAAGGTGTTGAAATGGATCCCGTCAAAGTTCGGGCGGCGAGCGGGTGGCCTATACCTACATCAGTGACTCAATTGAGAGCTTTTCTTGGTTTAACGGGATACTATCGTCGATTTATTAAAGGATATGCTTCCATTGCGGCACCACTTACCAATCTGTTACAAAAAGATAAGTTTTCTTGGACCCCGGAAGCCCAAACAGCTTTTGTCGCACTTCAGCAAGCTCTTATCACTGCACCTGTTTTGTCTCTTCCAGATTTTGCACGGCCGTTTATTGTGGAAACAGATGCGTCTGGCCTAGGAATAGGTGTTGTTTTATCTCAAGACGGTCATCCTATTGCTTACTTTTCGAAGAAACTCTCCTCGCATGCAACGACAATCCGCTTATGTTCGGGAACTTTACGCCATCACCGAAGCGATTGCTAAGTTTCGTCATTACCTGGTTGGCCACTATTTCATTATTCGCACGAACCACCGTAGTCTTAAACATCTCACGGACCAGGTCATCCAAACACCTGAACAAGAATCACTTCTGCCTAAATTATTAGGTTTTCACTACTCCATTGAATACAAAACAGGGACCTCTAATCAGGCTGCTGATGCATTGTCTCAATCATTTCACATGGCGGTAACAATTCCGCACTCCACAATTCTTAATGATATCAAAGATGCCATCTCTTCGCCTTTATTGCACCAACTCATTCAAAAATTCCAATCTGATCCTGCTGCCATGCCACAACATACAATGAAGGATGGGTTATTTTTTTGGCACAATCGGTTATTGATTCCAGTCGAGGCTCGTGTTGTTATCCTTCAAATTTGACATGAATTCCACTCATCTTCCATTGGGGGTCATGCTAGATTCCTCCGCACCCATGCCCGCATTGCTACTTACTTTTATTGGCCTTGTATGCGTCGTGACATTGCTACCTTCATTAGGCAATGTCAAGTCTGCCAGCAAGCCAAATCTTTACAAACACTTCATGCTGGTCTCTTAAGCCCTCTACCAATTCCGACTCAGGTTTGGGAAGATATAGCTATGGACTTCATCACGGGTCTTCCACTGTCAAAAGGTTATTCCATTATTTTTGTCATCATTGATCGGTTATCTAAGTTTGTACATTTTGCACCCTTGCGGTCCAATTTTACTGCAGTACAAGTTGCTGATGTTTTCCTTCATACTGTGGTTAAATTGCATGGAATTCCAACTTCCATAGTCTCTGACCGTGATAAGGTTTTCACTAGCTCATTTTGGCAGCAATTGTTCAAACTTCAAGGTACTACATTAAAGATGAGTTCCGCATATCAGACAAATGGTCAATCTGAAGCTCTTAATAAGTGTTTGGAAATGTACTTACGTTGTTTTGTCTTTGAACACCCCCACCACTGGGTCTCATTTCTGCCATGGGCCGAATTTTGGTACAATAGCTCATTTCAAACCTCCATTGGGATGACTCTTTTCAAAGTTATCTATGGAAGAGAGCCTCCCACAATCATTCCTTGTTCTACCCGTGACGACACGCCCTATGAAGTTCACGCTCAGTTGGTTCAAAGGGATCATATCCTTGCTCAGCTTAAACTACAATTGTTTCGAGCTCAAGTTCGCATGAAGCTGAATGCGAATAAAAAGCGGACTAAAGTAGTGTTCCAAGTGGGTGACTTGGTTTTTGTGAAGTTACAACCTTATTGCCAGTTGTCTCTACGACTTCAACGGAATCAAAAGTTGTCCATGCGATTTTTCGGTCCCTTTAAAATTTTGGAGCGTATTGGGGATGTTGCTTACCGCCTAGAGCTTCCTTCACATGCCAAATTGCACCCCATTTTCCATGTTTCTTTGTTGAAGTTATGTAGGGGTGACCCAGTATCCCAGTACATCCCATTGCCATTTGTTACAACTCCTGAAGGTCCACAGTTGCAGCCATTAGCCGTAGTGGATTTTCGCCATATTCAGGTGCAGCACTCTTGGGTTCCCCAAGTTCTGATTCAGTGGGAAGACACAGACAAGTGCACTTGGGAATCTTTATCGTATATGCAAGCTCATTTTCCTCAGTTTGACCTTGGGGACAAGGTCCCTTTTGATGAGGAGGGTAATGTTATGATAAGAGCTGATATAGGGGAAAATGCAGCAGGACACATGGCTATTGATCCGAGAAATGTGAAAAGTGGAGAGAAAGTGGTTAGGAGAAGCAACAGAATTTCAAACAAACCAGCACGTTTTAGAGAGTAAGGGGGTATTGGTATAAAGGAGAAAGAAAAGGCAAAGGGGACGGGGGAAAAGTTCCTTCTTTGAATGTTCTCTTCTCTCTCTGATATATTTTCAGCATATACTTAATTGACGAGGAAATTGAAAATACACGAGCAGTTTAATATTTGTTCTACTGTTGCTATTATAATATTCTAATCTGATGTAGGAAACATTCCATCAATAAGTTTGGCATATTGCATCAAAAGTCTTGTGTTAAAACTCCTCAATAGAATTATTAAAAGCATTAGATCTGATAATGGGAAAGAACTTGATTGTATTGATTTCTATAATAAGTTTGGCATATTGCATCAAAAGTCTTGTGTTAAAACTCCTCAATAGAATTCTATTGTTAAAAAGAAGCATCAACACATTTTGAACATGACTCGTAGCCTTTTGTTTCAATCTGAAATTCTTAAAGCTTGTTAGTCTTATGTTATTAGACATGTTGTTCGTCTTATAAACAGGTTACCTTCCATTGTCTTGAATAAAATCTCTCCATTCAAAATGCTATATAATCTGCCTCCTAAATATTTTGATTTAAGATTTTTTGGCCCTCTGGTTTTTGCTTCCACTCTTGAGAATAATAGGATCAACATTGATCCTAAATCTAGGTAATGCATTTTTCTGATATAAAAATGGGATCAAAGTTTCTTGACATAAAAAATAGAGAAATATTTATAAGTAAAAATGTTATTTTCTATGAGCATATCTTTCATTACATGAACAATAATTCTAATGATATTCATAATGATTCTATTTACAATAACTCAACTTTTTGCTTGACAACATCACGCACACAAATGAACGAGGTCTTCAAAATGGTGGTGCTAGAGATGATATAAGTGCTCAAAGTGACATTGACAGAGTCAACACCAATCATGATGATGCCGAAATTGATAGAACAAACACCAACAATGATATAAATGCTCCAAATGATATGGACAGTCAACCCAATAATGATGATACCGAAATTGATAGAACAAACACCAGCAATGATCATCGTAAGCACCAAAATTTCTTACTGAATATCATCATCATCAGATCAATAATTCTGCCAAATTTAATTCTGTTCAAGGCAAATTATCTTCTCCTTTATCATTTGTCTTATCTTACAACTCTCTGTCAGATATACATGTACGATACACCATGGTTGTTCCATCCAACGAGGAACCTGCTTCCTATGATTAAGCTCACCTTGCTGCTTCCTATGATTAAGCTCACCTTGCTCCCGAATGGGTTATTGCTATGGATAATGAAATTAAAGCCTTAAAGGAAAACAACACTTGGTAATTGATAGATTTGCCTCCCCAGACAAACCCCAATTGGATGCAAGTGGGTATATAAGATTAAATATAGAGTTGATAGCACTATTGAAAGACACAAAGTCCGACATGTTGCTAAGGGCTACACCCAGCAAGAAATAGTTGATTATCTTGATACATATTCTCCAGTAGCAAGGCTCACTACTATCTACCTTATCCTTGCTTTAGCAGCTACCCAAAATTGGCATCTATCTCCATCAACTTGATGTTAACAATGTTTTTTTACATGGAGACCTCAATAAAGAAGTTTATATGACCCTTCTGGTCTCATTGCTCCAAAGAGGAATCAAGTTTGTAGATTGACAAAATCTTTGAATGGACTAAAGTAGGCTAGTAGACAGTGGTTTTCTAAACTCCGCATCTATGCTTTCCATCAATTTTAATCCCTCTAAATGTAATAATTCTTTGTTCATTAAGAAAACTCCTTCTAGTATTACCATCTTACTTGTGTATGTAGATGATATCATTCTTGCAGGTGATTCCTTGAATGAAATCCAAAATGTGAAACATTTTCTAGACGATAAGTTTAAAATCAATGATCTCAACTATCTTAAATACTTTCTTGGTCTTGAGGTAGCTCGATCAAGGATGGAATTCATGTGTGCCAAAGAAAATACAGCTTAGACATTCTAGTAGATGCTAGAATGCTTCCTACCAAGCCTTCTTCCACTCCCACTCCTCTAATTCGTGATACAAAAATTTTGGTTGATACTAATGATTTTGCTTATGATACTGGTTCTTTCTGCACATTAATTGAGAGATTGCTCTATCTAACAAACACAAGGCATGACATTTGTTTTGTTATCCAATTTCTCAGTCAATTCCTACATAATCCAACCAAACAACACCATCAAGCAGCCCAACATGTTCTTCGTTACACCAAGCAAAATTCGACTCAAGGATTATGTTTTTTCCTCCACATCTGAGATTCAATTGAAGGGTTTTAGTGATTCTGATTGGGTTTTATGTTCAAACTCTCGTTGCTCCACGACCGATTTTTGCATCTTCCTAGGATATACTCATTTCTTGGAAATCCAAAAAGTAAACCACCGTTTCTAGATCCTCTTGCAAAGCTGAATATAGGGCCCTTGCCACCACCTATGAGTTGCAATAGTTGCAATATCTTCTTCAAGATCTTCATGTCAAAGTCCCTGCCCCTGCTGTTCTGTATTGTGACAACCAAGCTACTGCTTCTAACTCCAACTTCCATGAGAGAACCAAACACATTGACATAGATTGTCATGTTGTCCATGATAAACTTCAAGCCAAGTTTTTCCATTGGCTTCCTATTAAGACTACTGAGCAGCTTACAAACATCTTTACCAAATCCTTGGGTCGTGCTCCTTTCAACAATATCATTTCCAAGCTTGATGTATTGAGCATACACTCTCCAACTTGAAGGAAGGTGTTAGAATTCAGTTTTGTTTGTTTTATTAATTGCCTCGTTTTTTGCATTAACTTTCAGCTATTTAATAGAATGCCCCTTGTATTTTTTTTTTTATTTTTAACTCTCAATGCATATTTTCAATCTTGATAAATATTTCAATTCAGTTTTGTCATTTTCTTCTTTGCAATCTTAACATGCATAAACCTATGCAGCACGTCCCTTCTCCACAAATGCTGAAATGCTGAAACCTAGGTTCACCCCTTTTGGACGTCAATTGTAATAAAAGGTGATCAAAAACTTTGATAGCCAGGGAATTTGTTTTATTAAGGAGTAGCATTAGAGGTTAATTTTGTATACAAAGATAATGCAAATACTAATTGAATAGCACATCACGTACCGATGAGGCAGACACTGGTTTGATTAATGAGGTATCATACCCTCTAAATTGAGCAACAGCCTCAGCCATTTGAACACGTGAAACCCTATCAGCTCCACCAGCATTTAGTAACAACTGCATTTGCTTGCCCTCTGTTACAAGAATCAGGAAGTATAATTCATGAAAAAAGATTTGGATACTTCAGCTCAAAGTTATTTAAACAATACAAGAAAGAAAGTGTAAAATGAAAAGGTGTGGAACAACCAAATGAAATCATAAGGCCATAATTATACAAAAGAAAATGTCATACATGATTGATAATCAGTTTTAGTATACCTGATATCCATTGGCTAGTTAAAGCTAGAATGATAGTTACAAGATCCTTAACATAAATTGGACAGCGGAATTCATCGTGGAAGAACTGAACTTTTTCTCCTTTAGCAAGGGCACTATCAATCCACTGAAACAATCAGATAGCACTTTAGAAATGAGAACAGAACACAATGAGGATGATAAATCTATTGTACTGTAATATTCTTCTGAAAATATTGGTACAAGTGGGAAAACTTAATAAACAAATAGATAGCACAAGGTAACAGACCCCGCACTCCCCTCACTACTCTTTAATCTCTACTTCTTTCTTGCTCACTCACTCCTTTCACCTTCCCCTTTTGCATAGTCACCTAATACCCTTGATTGACTCTCTGAAAATAGTCACTCAATTCCCACTCTGTTAAATTAAGCATTCATTTCACCTTAACATAGTTTGAATGAATAAAATAACAAGTAAATTCCCCATAAACAGGTCTTTCCCATGAAAGCACCCCTGTATTTATGTGGATCCTAGAAAAATAGAAGAACCTAACAAAACAAGTAAGGAAAATCAAAATCTTTGTAACAAAGTCAAAGCAAAAAAAAAAAAAAAAAACACGAAAATCCTAGGTACTGTGAGGTTTTCACTTTCAAATAAGGGAAAAAGGCTAAACAAGAAATCATGAATGGTGGAAAATGATGCTTTTAATACAGCAGATTGAAAAAATGTTGAGCACAACACTACCACCATCCTATAAGAAAGAAATATCATGTACATAAGAAGCGAAATTCACAAACCATTAGCCTCAAGAGTTTGATCAACCTATATGCTTGAAGCATTAATTTTCCAAAGAAGTATATAATACAAAATACATATATTGCACAAGCACCTGAATAGGGAGAGATTTGGGAACTGGCGAGATTGCTTGTGGCCCATAGATGATACTGCTTCTCAAAATTGCAAAGTTTGGCCAATTTTCTGAAATGAACCGCTCTGCTGCCACTTTAGTTTTTCCATAAACATTTACTGGAACTGCAATGTCTTCTTCCTTGTAAAAGGACTTCTCCCCTTCATAAACTGATGAGAAGAAACTAATTACAAGTATGCTAAAAGTCAAAGTGTGAATGGACATGAATAAGGATACTAAACACAACATATAAATGGAGAACGAAATTTTTTACCCCAAACATGATTCATCCCTCGCTATTGTTAAAAAAGGATAAGATAAACAAGAATCATGCCCATTTATTCAGTCATTTATCATGGTAAGATTTGGCTACCTTGATCTGTGGAAAGATGAATGAGAAGAGTATTTCTCTTTCCAAAGCTTTGCAGCCATTGTACAAGAGATGATGGCACGTTAATAGCATGTGCAGTAGCGGGATCAGTTTCACAAGCACGAGGAACCGAGATGGCAGCACAATTGACAACTATATCAGGCTGTTATTAATAAATAAACAAAATTGTCAATAACGAAACAAATTACAATACTGTTTTATTCACTAGGAAATGCTAAATCCTTTATCCTCGTGCTATACCCTAAGATACATTAATGGATGAAATGAAGGCTCAAAATTTTGTAAGGCATTTCTGTTGAACATAAAAATGTTCAAAAAAACATTACATAAGACACTCTTTCTCTCTGTCTCTCCAGTAACCTTGCATGCAGGCACATGGTCAGGCTCACACCGGTGTATGGCAAGAAGAATGATTGATGAGTGACCATCAAGCTGAGAGAAATGATAGATGAAATTCTTCTACATGGAAACAAATTCCACAAGTAAAGTACGCAGGATTCCGAAAGTACTAAAGGAGTAAACCACTCAGTGTCAAACAAGAAAAGACAAGTCTGCCTAAATTGGCCTAGAACAAGTTGCACAATTGCAATCTAAATCCTTTTATAATAATCTCGAAGATTCGTTCATGAAAGATGCACTAATAAACCAAGTGCTAGCAGCTAAACCGGCAACATATCTCACTATTTATGCCAATAACCCTTTTACATCTTGTGTGGAATCTGAGCAACACGGATCACATGCATTTGACTATCTAAATCATTGTTATGAATAAGCAGCAAAAATGAGAGTAGTTCAGTGAGTCAATAGAGAAAGAGAAGGGCATCTCGAATGAAACTCAAACCAAATAATTTCCCGTTGGAGGCTCTACAAAATCCCCAAACCATGATGATAAAGAGTTTAACACTGAAGTAATCAACCAAAAACATATCAACAAAGGCTCAAACTTTAATTCCAAAAGGAAGAAACAAAATGACCCATTAATCAAAATCATGTTTTTTTCCTCACTCAATTGATAAAACAAAGCACAACATTCATATAACCAAGCTCAAGTCAAGAGGGTGAGAACAGAACCTGACCAAACGTGTTGGAAATGGTTTCAAATCCAACGCCAGTTTTCAAATCTACTTGGAAAGGAAAGGAAGAAGGAATGGCATCCAAAAGAGGATGGGGAGGAGATGAGTGGTGGGTGAAAGCGAGATCGAAAGCAAAAGGAGTTCCATTGGCATTGGGAATGGCATGAGCATAGGCTTGTAGCAAATGCTGACCCAAGTACCCTGTTCCTCCGACAACCAAAACCTTCACTTTCTTCATTTTCTGTGTCTCTCTGTATCTTTCCTTGTTTTGAGAGTTTAGTTCTGTGATCCCTTCGTTGTTGTTAGTTGGACTGAACGGGCAAAATTTAGTGGTAATTCTTTAGTTTAATTTGATTTAATATATAAATTAATTAATAATTTTTAATTGAAAAACACTAACAATAAATCATTATTATCGATAAAATTTAAGTTAAATAAGTTTTTTTGTGTAAAATTGGAGATAGACAGAGATTAAATCCATTTGTTAAACACAAATTATCATATTAACTACTAGTATTTGTAAATAAAAAAATAAAACTTTATACAAATAACTCTATATATCAATGTATATTATCTTTTTAATTTATCAGCAGTCAATACCCAATTTAACAAAATAAAAAAGTATGTTTTTATTTTAATGTGAAAAAACTTTAAAAAATATTAAACAAAATATTTTATCTTACATATATTTAAAAATAAAAGTATATAATAAATTAATATCAATATTTTTAAAAAATTATTATAATTTATTAATAAAATTAAGAATATTATAATTATTTTATTTTAATTTTTTATTCTTTTCTCAAAAAAAGACTTATATTTTTTTAATTTACTCAATTTTCGACATCCATCTCTCTCTTTTTTAATGTTTTTTTCACTCCTTATGACAATATAAAGAAATTAAAACAAAAATGGATAAATAGAAAAAAAAAGAGAAAAAAATAGTTATTTCTCCTTAATATATATATATATATATATATATATATATATATATATATATATATATTCCATTAATTCTTTGGATCATTGTAGATATTATATTAGAAGTTATATAATCATGGTAGTTTTTTTTAGAAACATCAAAACTATTAGATGGTAAAATAGACTAGATATGTTGACCTTCTATAATTTTGATTCGACTAATTTATCAATTAAATCATTAAGAGTGAAATAAAATGAATTAATTTATTTTACAAAATTTATATATTAAAATTAAAATACAAAATTATAATTAAAAATATTATCCATTTAATTGAAGATAATTAATCATCTTAGTAATATAAAGTGTTAATAATTTTTTTATATGTAATCAACTCAGAATCTAAATTTAATTTAGGAGATCATTATATCTTTAAAATATTTTTCTATCCTTCACTAGGACGACGACTTCTTAAAATTTGTTTATTGATTTTTTTAAATTTTAAATGGTTTTCTAAAATTTCTCAAAATTAAGTTATCCGATTGTAACATCACTTTTTAAAAAAATAATAATATGAAAATAAATTCATATGTGTAAGAGTGTATTATTATTTATAAATTATTAATTTATTTAATTATATAACATAATGAAAACATCGATTAAAAAAATTATGATTTTTAAGATAAGAAATGTTATATACACCTCAACGAAACTTTATACAAATGTCTATTGAATGCTTGGTTTAGATTTATCAATTTAAAAGATTTTTTTATTCACTAATTCAGAATTTGAAAAAATATAATTTTTTATATGTTTTGTATGGTTTAATTAAAAAAAAACTTAAATATTTTGAATTATTTATCCAATATTTTTGTAATTCACTTATCTAAAATACTTTAAAATATACTTTTTTAATCAAGGGATACATATTTTTTTAAGCGAATAAGGGGTGGATAAAGCAGCAACAGAAAGGCTTAAACAACGTTTGGGCCCACTAGCCCAACCCGAACATCTCCTTAGCCCCGTACATAGAGGGTGATGTTCACGCAGAAGCTTATTTGAATGGCTTCTGTTATTCACGTTAATTGCGCACGTACATATTGTTAGAACACGCAACCAAACACATCCTTACAAGAGCTCCAAACGCTAGTTCGAGCTACACAAAGAGAGAACGCAGATGAAGATGGAGGCAGAAGGGGTTGTTGGGACGAAATCCCTAGAATTGTGAGTTTGAGTTTGAGACATTTACCAAACAATAGGATAGGACTAAAATGACGATTGGCCTAGTTTTCTTATGATTAATTTTGTTATTTAATTAATGATTTATTATATTATTATTTGGTAATGAATGCATTGTTTTGTCATCAATTTGCTGCTGGTTGGAGTGGTTTGGCATTAAAATTCATGGTTTTGCTTTGTCTTGTAGGTTATTGTTGTTCTACTAGCCAAGGAACTTCGGAAGATATACATAATCAGGTACAATATTGACAATGTCGTTTGTGCTTTTTTATGTGCTATCTCTCGGGTTTCAATTTAGAGTGTAGATCAGTAATCCGTATTTGTACCCTTGATAATTGTAATGCAAATCAGTTTTCATTTTACCAAATATGTTTCTGCCTTCTTCATAATACCATGGTAATTTGGACCAAATTAAAGTGAAGTGATGAATACTGGGAGACCATTGATGGGAATAATTTTTTACCCGGAATCATAAAGTAAAGTGAGTTGTAGTGTGCAGTAGTTTGACTGGAAGAGACTTTTATATGAAACCTTTTCTGCTTTGCAGTGAAAGAATCTGAATTAGATACCTCAAACCCTCTCAATTCGCAATGGCTTTCCCTCCTTACCGACGATCCCACTTGCGTAGCAACACTTACCATGCGCTTGTTCACCTCTTCTCTCGCTTTGCTGAGTACAACTCTTCACGTCAAACTCCAATTCACATGCTCAACATTCCTGGTATGTGTTTCTGTTTCTGTTTCAAAAGCCACCTTTTAATTTTAATTTCTAGCAGTTTTTTGTTTTCGTTGTTATATGCTTCTATTATATGCATATTTATGTTTGAGACTTTGAGCTTTGACGTATCGTCATAGCTTATTTTTTTGTTTTTTCAATTTAATTTCCCATTTCACAATTATATTAATGCTATTAAATTCAGTTTATTTGTGTTTTTGGTAAATTAATATCAAAAGGATATTTTTTTTAATGAAAAAGTTTTTTCTTTTGAATTTAAGTTCCTATTTGGATTAGTAATTGAATTTTGAAGGCTTTTACGATTAGGCTGGGGTTATGGTTCAATCTGTTGGTAGTTTCAATGATATTGTGTTCTTCTAATATTTACGTGATGTTTCTTCAATTCATTGTTTTTAAAATTTTGGTCAATTGAAATCAAAAGGAGCCCTTTTTATTTTGTTAAGTTTCCACTTGGGTTAGGAATTGGAGTTTAAAATATTGTTTTTGGCTATGGATCAATTTGCTCTTGGCTTCAATTTAATGTGTGCTTACATATTTATTTACCACTGATTGAAAAAAAATATATTTTCCCTTTTTGAAGATGAAGGCAGTAGTAGAATGGATCAAGTAAACAAAGAAAAGGAGGCTAGGTGCTCCAAAGTTGTTGATTCTGATATTTTGGATCCTATAAACCAGAAGGATCTACAGGAGGTTCGGGAGACCATTGAGGGGGCTGGAGACAAGGATATGGATTTTACTTCCAACAAGATGGTCATAACTGACATAGAACATTTGATGGGAATAGAGGACATTTCTACCCAAGCAAATGGTTTTGATAAGGAGCAGAAGCTCATAAATGAGTTTGAGCTAGTTATGAAAGGAACTGAAGATCTTATTTGTGATAATGGTTTAAACCCCTTGAACATGGGATTTGATGATAAACATAATGATGGCTGTGAAGTTGGGTTGATGGATTCTCTGCTAGACATGGAAGAGGGAGAAATTTCTCGGGACTTGGGAATGGATGGCAATTCATTAGACGTGTCTTCTGCAGATGCTTTAATTTTGCAGCAGATGAAAGTAGGTGAGGTTCAGAAGCCTGTAAGTGTAACTAGGAATATGATATATCCTTATATGATTAAGAATCAAGAAAAGGAAAAAGGCCATGAGTCTACTTCCTCTATGGTAAATTCACTTCAAGATACCAATGATAGTGGACAAGTGGAGCCTAGAACTGGTAGCAACAAGGGGATTGCATACACAATTTCTGAAGAAACTCTTGAATGTAAGAAGGGAGATAAAACGAAGGTATTCTTGTAATACTATTGTTACTTTTTTTTTTCTTTCTAAATGTTATATTATTGTTGATAATTTGTGATCATGTTAACCTTCATTTTATTTTGGTACTTTCAAATTTTTATTAGTATGTACCACCAATTATGAATAGATTCAATGATGATTCTTACTTTTGTTATATTTAGTTTAGTATGTTAACCTTCATTTCTCTTAGGATCTCCCCTCCCTTTCCCTAAACAACGAAAAAAAGTGTTATCACGTTGTTGTATGTTATATCCAAGTCTTTGTATGGTTTTCAGTTACCATTTATTTTTTCCTATTTGAGATTTTGGGCAAAATTAACTAAATCAGAAATATGATGTGAATTATTTGTTCAACCTTAGCTTGGACACCATGTGCGGAGTTCCACAATGTGGACCAACTGTCTAATGATTTTAAGACTAGTTACACCAAATTTCCGTTTGCTAATTTTTAATTGTCCGTTGCAGTTGGTAAATGCCAGCATAAGGGACAAACGTGGTGGAAAGAAAGCAAAAAAGAAGGTATTCTACTGATATTTTGTTATCTATTCTCTTGATGCTGTACAATTGTTAACTTTTGATATGGATTTTGAAGCTTGTGAAGTTAACCTCATTTGAATTCTTTTCAACATCAGTTAATGAAATCTGTATGTTTTCAGCATGTGACTGATTTATTTATTTGATAAAACTTTATTTTGTAGAAGGCGTATAGAATGAAAAGAGCAGAAAAGATAAGAGAACTAGGTGTTAAAAGATTGCAGTTGCAGCCATATATACAAAAACCAAAAGTTGTGTCACATTGTCGCCATTATCTTGTGGGAAGGTGCCATGAGGTAGTTTTTACCCCATTATATTAAACTATGGAATGTTTTTTACTTCATACCTATATGGAACATACCATCTTTATTCTTCTTGATTTTAGTTGTTGTGACTATTTTACTTTGAGCCATTTCACAATACATACTATTGTTTGTTATTCTGGAATTGGTACTTCATTTAGCTGTGATTTAATAGGTAATTGATGTATTTCACTTCTTTATATATATATATATATATATATATATATATATATATATATATATATATATATATAGGGTTGTAAGTCAGTGATTCAATGACTTTTTGTACATTTTCATCAACTCCATTCAATTTCACTTTTATAAACTCTGTCATTCTATCAGGTAAAATGTAATATTTGTTTGTGATGAAAGAAGATTTCCATATTAAATGTTACATTAAAAATCTTGTGCAGGTTCTTTAGTTTCAATATCTATATTTTGTGACATTTGAATTGCCACGAGCCCTTGGTAATTTGTTTGTTATCTTGCCTTGTTCCTAAACAAATTTGGCAGGGTGACAAGTGTCAGTTTTCACATGATGCAGTGCCTCGAACAAAATCCAAGGTATTGTCCATTTTAATAATTTTCCCACTCATTTTTTTTACCCATAAGTTGTTACAAGAACCAGGAGAAATTTACAAGATCTTGCATTGATTTTTAAATTGCAGCCATGTAGTCACTTTGCAAATCGCTCTTGCATGAAAGGGGATGATTGCCCATTTGATCACCAGCTCTCAAAATATCCTTGTAACAATTTTGTATCCCAAGGTTCTTGTAGAAGAGGTGAAGTTTGCTTGTTTTCACACCAGGTACCACATCCTATGTTACTTCATATCATCTTTTGTAAATGACTACGTAATATAAGCTTGTTATCAATCTTAACTTATATGCATGCATCTGAACCATTTAAATATTCTCACAGATTAAAATGGGAACTTTCTGATGCAGGTACCAACCAAAGAAGATATCCCTACCTCTTCAAATATGCTCAGACCAGAGTTGTCTACTCTTAAGTCAGGAAATGCAAATTTCAGTACACCGCTTAACAATAATCACAGCTCTGGTTCTGTCCAGCAAAACCACTTTACTCATTCTTCTGGAATGCATCCTCGCACCAATGTTGAACATAAGGTGATAAACACTGCACAGAAACAACCTACACCACCTAAAGGAATTAGTTTCATCAATCTTGCAAAAGTAACACCCAGCCTTTCTATACTAAAACAAGGCACAGTAACAATCAAGGGAAGTCCTTTACAAACTGGGGCCCACGAAGATCAAAGTGCATTTAATAAAACCCAAAACAAGGTGGAGATTCCTAAGAAATTGCCAGCTGTGACACCCAAGGGAGTAAACTTTCTTTCTTTTGGCAAAGGCTCTGTCTGCGGCTTTAAAAGTCATATTCGCCCCAATTTGAGTACCAAAAATGGTTGCAAGTTGCCTCAGTTACTCAATTTTGGTTTGCCTGAGCAGGCAAATTCCTCTCTAAGTAAGGATGGCTACAACAAAGCTAGTGACAGAACAAAACAAAGTGTATCACTGACTGATATATTCTTAACTGAGATTTTAGGAAAAAATCAACCCGTGTCAGAAGGAATGAAATCAAAGTTTCCAGATAAAACCTCAGCTACACTGAGTCCTTTTGTTTCAAACCAGTCTTCTGAACACCTAAAATCTGGTTATCATAAGCATGTATCAAACTCTGGTCAAAAGGCACTCTTGTCAACATTAGCATTTGCAGCAGAGCATGAATCTGACATTAAGATGAAATACCCAAACATTGATTCGTTAGCATGATCAGAGGACTCTGAAAGAATGTTCTGTTGAAGTTTCAAACCATGCAGCCCTTGGTGAAAGGAACCAATGCACTTCCCAGTTCAGTGGATACAGTTTTTCAGTTATAAGTTTCTATTCCTATTCTGATGTGTGACCTATGCTAAGAAAGCAAGGCTTCTTCTGTACTCACAGGTGAGACTGATTTCTGTGATGGACAAAGTCTTAATTATTAACATATAGGTGGTAATACATCCCAAATTGACTGTGGATAGTGCTCATAAAAGATGTGACATCATTATTTCCATTAACATAACTCTTCCTGACTGTAAACTGAATGTATTGTTCCTATCCGACTTTTTTGAATTCTTCTTGCATTTTGGACATCTAATTTTTAATGGTTCTCAGGGGAATTGTCCAATGGATTTTTTGAATACTATACAGTTTTAGTGTGCTAACTCTACTAGATGAGTTAAAGAGAGTGATCATTGATCAATTCTTGGGCATTTGAAGAGAGTGGGTCATACCTATTTCAATTATGTTAATTATTTCTTTATTTTCTGCTTCTCCCACTGTGTTTGCAGTATAATTTAGCATAATTCTTAATTGGATATTGCAAAATAAATTGTGTTGCTGTCTGCTGCAATGACTTGAATTAGTTCCACTGCATTGTAACTATTTTCTGGGTGATTATATACCGTGTTTCACTCCCTTGGTTTTCTGATTAACATCAAGCTGTTACTATTAAAAGTAATTTGTTTTATCATCCTTAAATTAATTCTATTATATCTTTTAAAAATAGTGAATATTATCGCAAGAGTTTCGATTAGTTAATCTTCTGAAACTAATATTCTTTAAATAGTTTGATGAGTATCTACTTATCTTCGACCAATATAGTTCAAGTGTTTATTGCCATGACTTAGTTTTTACTAGTTTTTCTCTTACAGAATTCTTGCTAAGTTTATTTTAATAGTTAATTTACCTGTAGCTTATTACTTTGTTTGAGAGGATTAAATATTCTATTATGTATTACCTTGAAACAAACTTTACATTTGTGCAAAAGTCTTTTATCTGAGATCTGGATAATGATTTAATTTACATAGACAAATTCTTGTTTGAGTCCTTTCTTTTGCTGTATTAGAATGTTTCCTTTAAGTTTCACCATCTTATACCACTTTTTTTTTTTTGTGTAAGTATGTTTTTTGTTGGTGGAAAAGCTTTATATTAGTTGTAATCTGTTAATATTCAATCTTGAATCTTCCCAACAACAACAAATTTCTTGCTCCAAAGCTAAACTTGGGACAGATAATTCTTATCATGTGTTTCATAAGCCTTGAATTTGGTATTGTTGTTATTTGTTCCTTTGTATGGTTTGAGATGACCAAAACATAACTAATATAAATCTCCCACAACCTTGGAGTACTTCCATCTTATTATGTTTCTTTCTCTTGTTGCAGGGTTTGTAATTACTTCTAAGGGAGAGCACGGAGAATAATCGAACATCAGCTATCATCTGACTATGATATAAATTCCTGAACATATTTTTTTTAGTTAGTCTGTCCACGACCATGAAAACACACAACTTTCAGAAAATGAAACATAAAATCTTCGTAATGGCACGCTCCTGTGGGGGATTCCAATTCCCTGAACTCCAAGGTCACCTAAGCCAAGAATTCGACTTCCATCCGTTAAGAAAATCATTTCTACCTGCAACAAAACAATAAGTGATGTTCAATGAAACAAAGTATCTTTGGTCTTATGTAATTACTGTGATTGTAGCAACAAAGCAATTACAAATTCAACTATAGTAATGTCAGTAACAATCTTCTTCACGAATCTTCGAAGTTGAATACCAAACCTCACACCTGAATTGACCGGAGATGAAAAAATAAAAAATGAGAAAAAATGAGCGGAAGGAGAATTCAGTAGAGAGAAAATATCTTGGAGAATAGATACTATGATTACCCCTCACCACTCTTCATAATCCTGTAAATAAACGCTCATTCTTCTAATTTTGTTTGTTCTCCTCAATTCTAATTTCCACGTCATCACCATTGCATGGTACAATATCCTTCCTTTTAAAATCAATCTTGTCCTCAAGGTTGAATTGACATATGAATATTTGATATCTTCCAAGTCTTTCCTGGTACTTTCGTCAGGTCCTCCCAAATTTCATTGCACTAATACTTGAAATGGTTGTTGAGAATCATGTATGACCACCCTGGAGTTCAGTATCTTAATAGGCTGCAAGATAGGTCCCACCTCAGTAGTATTAAGGAGAAGAGGAAAATATTGTTGAGGGTAATCTCCGTGAAAATTATTCAATAAGGAAATGTGAAATAATGATGTATTCAAGTTGTTTCAAGTAATTTCAACTAGTATGTCACCACCAATTGTTGTAGCACTTGCCTATAAGGTTGTAACTTAACAAAGTATAATCTTCAATTTCTAAATGAAAAGTTGAAAATCTCTCCACTTACTATCAACTAGTAATTTGCTTTGCACAAAATATTCTTTAGTTGTTGTCCTGGGTTGAATAACATTGTTAGAACTCCCTCCATCCACTAATACTCTAATAGGTAACTTGTTAACAAAATTTGTAATAACAACAGTTGTCTCTTAAGATATTTATAATTAAAAGTGAACTTATCATAACAGAAATAACATAAGTCTTTTTTCCTCCTCAATTGCATCTCGGCACGACATATTTTCTTCACATTAATATATCTAATAGGATTGGGGGTGTAGGCAACAAGGGAGGTAAGGAAGTTTTAGGTGAATTATGCTTCAAAGAAATAATGTCACTATTGTAAGAGGAAATAGGTAAATACTTTTGAGTGTAATTTGAACTTATTGAGTAACCCAATGGTTTATATTTCTCATATAACTTGGCTAAGGATACTGCTCGAAGTATCACCACAGGGAATTGCATAATAACATCTCTCCAAATATTTTTTATGCAAGCCACTTATAAAACATTTTAATAAAGTCTAGTAGATCTATTAGCTAATGTCATAAACTTGAGAAAATATTCATAAACAATACCTGATTGTTGCAATTTACATAGTTCCTGTGTTAGACAATCAAATAAAGGACCAAACTCAGATCCTAATGTCGTAGCAAGATCATTCCAAGATCGGGTAGCATTCAACTGTCCCATCATTTGAAACCAAAGAATAACTTCTTTCTCATTCCAATCTTTCAGCATTTGAAGTTTTGTGGTAACTAAAAAACTTTTCAACTTCTAACATGGGTGTGGTTCTATCAAAACGTGGAAATCCTAACGAAACACCCTTCACAAGAAATGATGAATCCTTGTTTGAGTTCACAACACCAAAGGACTGAGAATGTCTAATAGTCACGAGTCGTATTCTGCAATTGAATCGCAACTTGTTGCTATGCGATATCATGGTCATGTAACATCCCTTAGTTAAATCAGATTCATCAATCTTCGAAGTTCTTCACCTTTATTCATAATCTGCAACTCCTTCACATGCGTATTCTCAATCATTGACGTTAATGAAAACACTAATGAAGCAATGCATCTTTAGTATTATGTAATTATTGTGAATGTAGCGATAGAGCAATTACAAATTCAACTAACAGACCCTCAGTTCTGCAACAATTGTTTCAGACAATGAAATTAAGTAATGCTAGTAACAATCTTGTTCACAAATCTTCCAAGTTGAATGCCAAACTTCACACTTGAATTGACCGAAACTGAAAGAATTAAAAATGAGAAGAAATTAGAGAGAGGAAGGAGAATTCAACAGGGAGAATATTCATACCACGATTACCCCTCGTCACTCCTCAAAATCTCGTAAATAAACGTTCTCTTTTCTAATTCTGTTTGTTCTCCTCAATTCCGTATGATACAGATCTTCTACCATATGTCCTTCTTTTCTAACTAATTTTCATTCCACTTTGTCTCTTTCTATGTCATCACCACTACATGTTACATTCAAACATAACGAATGAATAATTGCAAGCCAATTTTGTCACTTCATGAACAAAACACAATTTCCTTAGGCTTTAGTTCATGTTTGGTAAAACTAACCTTTGAACTAGCTGATAAGCATAAAATAATATAAAAAAAAAAAAACATTAATTACTTGGCCATAACCTGAAAATTGATAATCATATGTTTTCAAATAATTATCACTTTTTCATATTTCAGTTCATTTCAAATAATCTGCCTTGGCAACATAGTTCAGTACTCTGGCAATAATCTAAGTCATGTCACGCTTGATCACACTTGCAAGGATAAAAAAATTGCCAAGAGCCTATTACTTAGGTGCTCTTCGTATTCTTCTCATTTCATTTTTCTTTTGTTCTATTCAACTGTACCTTAGAGTGCAACTGCTTTCAGATTATCAATGACCTGAAAAGCAATTACACTAAAAATAAGCAATTAATTATTACAGGAAACTACAGTTTGAATGATTGACACACAATATCAAGCACATGAAATTGGCTACATCACAAAATTATACGTAAAATTATATTATATTTCTTTTTTAGGTGGTTCAATAAGAAATCAAACTCAAAAATAATTTATATATATATATATATATATATATATATATATTTTTTTTTTTCAACTTATTAAAGTATTTTTCAAAGATAAAATTGTGACGGACTTCAAAATAAATAATACATCGATCGTGATAATAAATCATAACACTACAATCTAATAAATATAGGATCCGAACATTTTCGTTACTAAAAAAATTTGTATTTACATTCTTCAGTTATGTTGTGAATATGTAATTCAATTAGATAATGTATTTTTTTTATAATTAAGATGATTATATGAACAGTGATTTTTATATTACTTTTGTTAAAAAATTATTACTTTTTGTTAATAAAATATTGGTTAATGAATATATTATATATAATTTTTGCTTTATATTATATAACAAATATGCTTTTTGTCTAAATTTTATTATGGTTAGTTAAAAATAAATCTTTGTTTTTGTCATTTGAAACTAAATTTTTTTTTATTTTATTTCTTAGTATTTTATATGATACTACCTAATTATTTATCATTGAATAAAATGTTAAATGACCCTTATAAATTACAGATACTAGTTATATAATACAATATAAGTATGTCTCATCTAAAAATACTTTTAAGATTGGTAAAATTAATGTATTTACCTATCTGGAAATGAATACAAAATAGTCAAAATTAGTAATGGAAAATATTTGAAGGAATATAAATTAAAGAAAAATATTTTACAAAGACTAAATAATTCACAAATTTATAAGGACTTAAAATAGTAATTCTAAATTTTACATAAATAATTTTTTTATAAAGATACAAATCAAAATTCACTAATTTTATAGGAAGAAATACATATTTAAGTCTTAATTTTTTTCTACCTTAAAGGAAATATTTTAAATAAAATATATTATGAATAAGATAGTTTTTATATTACATTTGAATAGAAAGAATAGGAAAATGAAATAATAATTATCATCTGGGCTCAGCTTGATCTGGTATGTGGGGTTAAAGGAAAAAAAATTGATAATTCAATCTTATTTATAATTTTAAATGAAATATAATTTTTAGCTTATTCTAACCTATGTAGGTTAATAGATTAACTTGTCAAATTTAACTTGAAAATTAAAACAAAATTATTAACATGTTTATCAAACTAATTAGTTAAAAAAGATTTAAACAAAAATAAAATAAAAATATATATTTTTTAAATTTAAATTATGTTAATAAAATTAGTTTTTATTTAAGATATAATGATTTAATATATAAATTAATAAGATATGAATTAATTCAATTTTAGAATACTGTTAAAAACTTTGTTATCATCATTCTTATTTTAGTAGTTTATTGATCTAAAATAATAATTAGTTTTAATAATTAGATTTTGGAATAAGTGACTATTAAAAAGTTATTATTGTATTTATAGGATATTAAAATAGGATAGTCTGATGGACTAACTCGAAGGGTATGAGAAATTGGTCAGGTAAAATAAAAAAATATGTGATTTAAATTGAATTATACCTCTTTTTTGTTCGATCTATTTAGGTCATGACCTACATAAATTTAAGTTAGACTAACCCATAACCTTATGAGCCGACCTATTTTATATATATAATAATTATTACAAATAAAAGTAATATTATTTTATTGAAACATATATATGTATTATAAATTAATTTTTAAAAGGGATTCTCTTGTTCTACAAATAAATTCGAGATTAAATCTCTAACAACCACTTATTTAAAGAATTAATTATTATGATTAATTATCATTTTAAATTAATAAACTAAAAAAATCATTATCTTATAACTTATTATTAAATAATTATATCTTAAGTAAAAATTAATATTATTAATTAAATTTAGATTTTAAAAATATTTTTTTTATTTAAATATTTTTTAATTAATTGATTTTAAAAACTATAGAATCATACTAAGTTAAATAGTTTGGTCTAGTTGAAAAAATATATTTGACTGAGTCATTAAACTTTTTTACAGGTTAGGTAAGGTTGTGTTTATGTACTTATTTTTAAAATAATTAAATTCTTTATCAAATTTATTTATAATCCATATATAATTTTAATAAAATAATATATTTTTTTATTTTTATTTAAAAAATAACTATTATTCTATAAAACAAATCCATCCATAAATTTATAAGTTAGTATGATTTAAACTCAAGTAGATAATGACATAAGAGGTTAAAATAGGTGATTCAATTTAGACTACAATTTTTTTTTCTACCTTAACTAATCCATTAGGATATTTTGTCTAACGCTAATAATTATCATTATATACATTTTAATATATTATTGGTACTATAATAATTTTATAGTTTTTTTTTCCTTCTTGGAGGCAAAACCCTATTGTTTGTTGGGTTATATTGATAATTAAAGACTAGGCGAATCTTAATTATTTACCATTTAAATAATTTTAAAAGAGTATAACATTATAAAACTAAAATATGAAATACTAAGTTTTTAGAAAATAACAAGGAGTAACTTTTTAATATCCAAATCATTATTTTATAAATATACAACTTTTTTTCTTCTCATTATATATATATGCATTTTTTTTTACCTTATATATGTATTTACCATCAAATTTTTTTACTTTTGTTTTACTGCCATTTTCACAAATTAAAGATAAAATGAAGTTAGTGTAATATAACAAATAAGAAAGAGGAATGAAAAGTCTTATGATTATAATTTTAAGATTAATAAATTTATTATATTTACTGATTTTCAATAAAACAATCTTTGTAAAAGAAACAAAAGAAAAAGAAATCTTGTAAATTTTGAAAAAATAAGTTGAATATCAAAAGAAGTAGGTAGTAGTAATGTATTTTTCGTTTGTATATCATTTAAGTATAATTTATACATATTTTTGTTAAAATATTTTTATAATAATTATTAGATGAACTTCAACTTTCTTATGATTTTCAATCTTAATAATTAATACTTTCTGAATTTGATATCTTTATAGATAATATTCTTAATTGTATTTTTTTCTTTTAAATATCATAGATGTATCTAGAATACTGAAAAATGCAATAGTCAAATTAACTGAAAGCTTTTCTTCTAATGTTGATTGCAGAAGATTGTTACTAATGCAATAGTCTAATGTTAATAAAATCTTTATCACATCAAACACCTGTTCAATGAAAAATAAAAATATATAATTAAAAAGAAATGATTTTTTTTTAAGATTAAATTATATTTTTTTAAAGAAAAAAACTATAAAATCATAACATTTTATAAAAAATATATTTAAAAAGCACATATATTTAAACCTTTAAATAAGAAGCTTTTGAAACTAACAGTTTTTTTATGAATCTCAGAGTTAATCAGCAACCAGCATCCTAGTTTGTGATATGTGAAAAAGACATTTTTAAAAATGAAAATTTCATGAAAAAATAATTAATCTTTGATGTATTGCAACTCTAGGTGACTCAGTATCAACTAACCAGACATGAAGACTTGAGTTGCAGTGAAGGTTCATCACTCAGTTACAAACTAAACTGCTTAAAAGTTTTAGTGTGTGTAAACGTCTCCCATCATTATTCTTTTTGTTTGTTTGTTAAAATCTAGTTTAGTCACAGATTCTATCTTCATCTACCTATTTAACGTTTACAGTAAATAGATTACTAAATTTAAAATTTGCTGCATTATTTTCTTGATATCAATGACAAGTGAATCATGAATGAAATCTTAAAGGACCACATAGGCAGTGATAATTTTTCGGGTTCACTTAACATTGGAAACAGAAAGATGTTTTATTTTATTGGGAGGTGCACCATATTTTGTTGTCGAAGAAGAAAACATAAATATTTAAATTTTGGTTGGAATTTGAAGGTTTGGACTAAGCATTCCATTTACTACATTGTTAACGATAATCATCATTAGTAATATTCATGCCTATCGTTATCTAATGCTAAGATTTAGTAGTCTAAAACTATTAGACTTTGTCAAAAAAATTAGTTTATTAAAATGATACTTTTAACTTCACAGCATAATGTTTCATGCATGTTTCAGGTCTTAGAAATGCTAAACGAATGTCAGAAACAAACAACTTTTTATTTTTGTATCAGCAGAGTTTTGATACAGATTTCAGAACCGGCCAAAAAAGTTCAGTGTCACCTGCTACTTTAATGAGTTGTAATCACTTATAGGGCAGTGGAACCCTCGTTTTTCACCATCTTTAACTAATAAATTACAGTGTTCTCACGGGAGTCTAAATTGCAAAAGACTCTTCTGTCAGAAAGGAAGGAAGAGAGATGTTTGGAGACAAAGGGTTGTGTGCACAATCTTAAGCATCAGTCTCAAAACACCTAGTTAAGGTTCCATTCCTGTGGGACATAAACCCGATGACACATAGTGGTTCTTGTTATCTTCTATTATTAGCCTTTTATCGTATCAGTTAATACATAGCAAAATAGTCAATCCAAACCACCATGTTTTTGTACATAAGAGCTTATGTAATCATTTTTCTTTCCACACACAAATTAGCTTATAAATAACCATGTTCCTTGTTAACTCCAAAAAATGACTAGGTTCAAGAGTCCAATAACCAACCTGTATGAAAAATGCTGGCAAAAACCAGATGCACAGAGAAATGAAAAAGACCCCACGATACAACTTGTACAATGAACAAGATTTCTAACTATTTTACCATATAGTAAAAGTCAGAATCTTATAGCTATAGCTCATTCTAGTTCTACTTATATGTGGTATTAATAAGTTTGATCTTTGGTTTTGTTTAAAAGTTATGCTCGGTTTAACACAGCAACATTGCATTAAGCACCTCTTACATTTTGTTTTTTTAATTTGAGATTTTTATCAGAATACCAAAACGCTAATATTTGATTAAGTTCTGCAAAGAAATTTTACACCTTCGCATTTACTGTTAAACTTCTTTAGAAGTATATGAAATCATAACAGTATTATAATTCTTCAGCACTTGTTTTGTAAGTTCTTTCCCTTTTGGCCGTGAGCATGAGCAAGTGGAGTGGGGTCCAAGTCATTGGCTAGATGGATTCAGAGAAACAATGGGCTGTGTGCTCCGATGCCTACCAATATATGACTGTAAACAATTTCAGTTATGTCTGTCTGTTGTGCATGTAAGTTAAATCTACAACCATTATTTTCATTAACTAAAGATGACTTGTTTGCATCACTGAAATTGTTTGTTTCCAAACTGAACCCACACTTCTAGCACCCCAATACAATGACTTTGCTCCTAGCTCTCTTTAAAAGAGCAACACAATTTATTTTGTGTATATTTTCTACTGGTTTTCTCCTACAACCCTCTCTTTGTCTCTCTTCTTCCCTAAATTTTTATTACAATCATGTTCAATCTAATACTTAGTAAGTGTAAGAGTTTGTCAAAGCATCTAGGAAGATCTTCATCGATTAAAGGCCTAAGATCCAGGTTTGTTAAAGAAGATTTATGGAAAGTACATGACATGCAAGAAGATGAACATTGTGAAACTATACTTGCTGGCAGCACAAGAAAACAGTATGTGATCAAGTCTAAGTATCTGAATAATCCTCTTCTGAAAGCTCTGATCAACAAGTCCAATCAAGAGGGCAGTGATGAAAGTGTTTTGATTGTCAACTGTGAGGTGGTTCTCTTTGATCATCTGCTGTGGATGCTAGAAAATGCAGATCCTACGTTTGGTTCTGACTCTTTGGAGGAATTGACTGAACTTTATGCGTTTTAAGAGTTTCAAAGAGTTAATTTGCATGCAACAGCCTAATGTATATGTAAATACATGTTGGATTGTGCTTGCATTCTGCAAAATGTTATGTTTTGTTGAGTCATTTTTGTTTCTTTTGTTATGTTTCATTTCTATGGTGTTTTCAACTGTTCTTTAATTCCTCTTCTAACTCACCTTGCTTTCAAGTGTCATAAATGTTTCTAATGCAATCAAATTGTTGTTTACTTAAGTGGTATTGGAGCATTATTCTAAGGGTGAGGGTAATATCATAATTCTGTAAAAAATAGTCACAGGGACTAATTTTGTATAATAAAATCTCCATCCTTGAGGCATCTAGTAAAATTTGATTGAATGTCAAAATAAGATTTAAAAAAAGAAAAAAAAAGAGAGAGAAGAAATTAAGATTAATACAGCAAACTTAATAATTAAAAGAGATATGAAGTATTTTTTTATAAATTTTTTATTGATTGGAATGAAAACAATAATAGAAATAATATTTTTAAAATCGAATCCTTCACTAAATTGATAAAAATATAAATTTAAAATTTAAATATTTAACTAAGATTTAATCCGATGTAAATAAATTTAATAAATAATATTTTTATAATATAATAAGTATATAATAAATTCATTTATAATATCAATTTAAAAAAAAATTACTATCATGCTTCGCTTAAATTACAATGAAGGTTAGTAATATAAAATATATAAAAAAGAGTAGGGGATGTATAATAATTAAGATAAGACGAAGATGGAAACTATTATTTAAAATTAATATAATTAATATGAGATAAAAAATTAAAATATATTATAATTCTTATAAAAAAAATATATTAAAAAAAGGATCTTTAATTTATTTTTTTATCAAAATTGGTTTAACATAAAAATTTAATTTTATTGATTTTTTTCTATTTTATCTTAATTTAATTAAAATTCCATTATTTAAAAACAATAAATTAATTTTTAACCCAGTTTTCGATTAGATCGATTAAACCAATCGATCCTGATTTTCAAAATAACGAACAAAATTATAAAGATGAGAAAAAAAAACATAGACTGTGCATAGAAGGTTATACATAATATATATTAAATAAAGAATATATAAAAAGTGTATGATATATTTTTGTTAGTCAATTTAATTTTTTTATGTGAAGACTTTATAAAGGAAAAATATAAATAAAAATGGTCCCCTGGACACAGAACTAGGTCCCTCCATAAAATATAACATAGCATAACCAACTTTATTACCAGATGAAAAATGAATGTATGAAAATGTGGTTTAAACTCATATTCATGTTTTCTTACCATAATTAAAGATTAAAGTAAATACGACTAAACATGTTCACAACTATAGTTGTACCGGTTTTTTTTTTTTTTATGTAAATCTTTTTGCCTAGATACCTATTTTTTTAATGTGTTGTCCCTTGAATATATATTTTTTTATCCATCCTTATATTTAACAAATCAAACAAGACTCGTAGGATTTAATTCAACTGATATATATATATATATATATATATATATATATATATATATATATATATATGTATATATAAAATACTGGTACTTGCTCACACAAACACAATTTCTGCATTTATTTCCTCTATTGTGGCTAAACAATGACTTTGCATAATCACACAAAACAATAATCATTCAAATTTAAGATGAATAATCTTCTTCACTCCTCCGCTTCTTCTTTCCTCCGTTTACTTCTGCTTTTACACAAGGAAACATTAAAACATCGGAGTATTTTTTTTGTTTTCAATAAGGACTTGTAACAAACAAAAAGATTATTAAAATGGGAATAAAAACCAATCATCAGTATCACTTTCAACTCAAAAATCTTAAGATATGGATCTTTCTTATTCAGAAGTTATTCAAATTTCCTATTTTTATCCAATATGAGATTTATGTTGGAAAATTAATAATAATAATAATAATAATAATATTCCTGATTTTGATTCTAACGATCAAACATAAACGTAATCTTATACTGATAAACATGTTGTAAACTGAAAGCGAAAAGCGTACCTGAATTAGCCATAACGATGATGTCTTTGTAGAACACTATATTGATCTTATGGTCTTCCACCTGAAGAGCACCTGTATTTCCCTCTTGATTTTCTCTCTTGATGAGGATAGAAAGTAAGGAACGAGACTGATACTTACGTTCTGTGTATGTACTCCCAGAAGGGGACCATGACTCCTTAAAATAACCAGAATTAGGTTAATTACTTAAGTTTTAGTATTTCTAATTTAGTCCCTCATCAAATTAGAAATTGTTTTATGGTCTCTACACAATTTTATTTTCATGACATATGCATTTAACCAAACATTTTAATTTAGTCAGATCACTTTATTATTTTGTTGGCAAAATTTGGGTCATGTATATATATGATACATAATTTAAATGTGTTAGGGTCATTATTTATTAAGCCAAATAATAAAGTGATCTGACTAAATTAAAGTTTTTGCTAAAATCATATGTCATGAAAATAAAATTGTGTAGAGACCATTGAACAATTTCTAATTTGATGAGGGGTCAAATTGGAAATACTAAAACTTAAGTAATTAACCTAATTCTGGTTATCTAAAGGGTCATGGTCCCCTTCTGGGAGCACACACACAGAACGTAGGTATCAGTCTCATTCCTTTCTTTCTATCCCCATCAAGAGAGAAAATCAAGAGGGAAATACAAGTGTTCTTCAGGTGGAAGACCATAAGATCAATATAGTGCTCTACAAAGACATCATCGTTATGGCTAATTCAGTACGCTTTCGCATTCAGTTTATAACATGTTTATCGATGATGGGATTATGTTTATGTTTGATCGTTAGAATCAAAATCAGGATTATTATTATTATTATTATTATTATTAATTTTCTAACAATTGGTATCGAGCGACCCATATTTGATTCATGTCTGTTTAATTTATAGAACCCTAATTATGAAAATTAGGATTAATTTTGTTTTAAACAATTCAAATTACCTAATTTTATGAACCCTAAGTGGAGAATAATCTCTAATTTTTCGTGAACCCTAAAATTTAAATTTGGGGGTAACATCCCCAATCTGATTCTGCTTGTGATGGAACCATGGAGGAAGCTATGGATTCTTCTTCTTCATTTTTTCCTTTTATTTCGGTTTAAGTTTCAAGTTTTACTGAGAAAGAAACAGTGTTTCAAATTTCAATCTTTCTTGTATTGGGTTCTCTGTTCTTTTTTTAATCTTTTGTTTTTATTTAATTTTATGGGTTTGGAATTGGGGGTGGTGTTTGTGGAGTTCCCAACACAAAGAATATTAGGTAAATGGTGAATGTTTCTACAGGTGTGTCTGTTCTTATTTTTAGGAAAATTTGATGTTAAATTCTCTGTTTAGGGGTTGAGTGATTACTCGTTTAATCCCCTTTTAGGGTTTAGAGCAAGTATGCTAAAGAGACTCAAAACTATTTCTGTTTTATCCCTAGTGTGATTTTAGGGAGATGTTCATCCTTTATGTATTGGTGGAAAATGAGGTCTTTTTTCATCCTTTGATTTGTTCAAATGAGGTGTTCATCCCTAATGAGATTCTAGGGAGGTGTTCATCCTTAGTAGAATTCTAATGAGGTGATTCTCTTTTGAATTAGTTTGCAAATATTAAATATTTGGTTTTTTTATATAAATAAAATATTCAATTTTTAGTAGTTTAATATTTTTTGTGAGCAAATTGAGTCAAGAAGTCACCAAAGTAACTTCTCTTGAATTGGACAGTTCATGAAAAATATTGAATGTTACATGTTTGTGTATATTCATGCGAGTATTAGTCGGCCCAAAGAAAGATTAATATTTGGCCAAATTGCATACACACTTGTAATGATAAACATGTGATAATTATAAGGATTTGCTTTGTCGATGATAAATCAATCCAAAGACTGGTTTGTTGTTGGACGTGCTTTACTGTCAATGTTTGATTATTACAACAAGATACCTCTAGCAGTTAATATTACTGTCCAAAAACTTGATATTGATGGTGCATTGGGTGTCTTGAGATGGGTTAAACCACTATTTGAATATATATTATTTATTTTTTATATAATGTGAGCATAATTAGTTTATTTCTCGTGTTCTAAATTCAGCTACAATTGCTTCTGTATCTGCTAATTTAAATTCTATTCCGGTCCTCAATGGAACAAATTTTAAAAACTGGAAAGAGAACATTGATATTGTTCTTGGTTGCATGGATATGGATCTTGCGTTAAGGACTGAGCAACCCCCTACTCCTACGGATTCAAGTACCTCTTAACAGAAAAGAGATTATGAGAAGTGGGATCGCTCAAATCGCATGAGTCTAATGATCATTCAAGTACCTGTTTAGGGGCACTGTTTCTGAAAACATCACAAGTGTCAAAGAATTCCTAGGTGAAATTGAGCAGCGCTTTGCAAAAAGCGATAAGGCAGAGGCAAACACTCTTCTTCAAAACTTGATCTCCATGAAATATCAAGGCAAAGGAAATATCAGGGAGTACATTATGAGCATGTCTAATATTGTTTTTAAACTCAAGGCACTAAAGCTTGAACTCTCAGAAGACTTGCTCATTCATTTGGTGTTGATTTCTCTTCCTACAACGTTTAATCAGTTTAAGGTATCTTACAACTGTCAGAAGGATAAATGGTCACTTAATGAACTCATTTCACATTGTGTACAAGAAGAAGAAAGGCTAAAGCAAGACAAGACAGAAAGTGCTCATTTTGCAAGCACCTCCAAGGCTAAGGGCAAAAGAAAGAGATCAAAGGATCTCGAGAAAGAAGGTGCTAAGGGTCCATAACAAAATAAACAAACTCAAGAAAACAAATGTTTCTTTTGCAATAAGACTGGACACGTAAAGAAGAAATGTGTTAAATATCATGCTTGGCGTGAAAAGAAAGGGTTGCCTAAACTACCGGAAGTCAATTGATTCTGAAAGATGGATTTATGTTGGAGATGGCAAATCGGTAAAGGTGGAAACTATAGAGCATTTTAAATTG